TATTCACTGAATGGAATACTTGACAAATAAAGAGCTTCTCTGTTCCTAAACTTCTCCTACATGTCTATAACTGGGTGTTCAAATTCACATTTCATACGGCGTTGTTAGCCATTTACCAGTCATTCCCCTTTGAAATCTACAAAGCCACTATCTGTAGCTGTCATTCCAAAAAAGTGAATCAGTATCGAGGAAGAACATTTCAAAGTCAGAGTGAGGATCTGTTCTAGGTATCATAAATTGGCTTTTCCTGCGTTATCTGGGCTCCCAGTGGCGGCACTGAAGCCTTCACAACATCTTGTGGTTTTACTGATTTTCTGAAATGTGGGACCCAAAAAGGCCTTGGAAAACCCCACACGGGACATTGTTGGCTGCTCGGGCCCTGAGAACTCATTGGTGGGGGTAAAGTATTCATTTTTTTAAAATCATATTTTATAAACTTGAAGAAATTGCTTTATGAGTAAGAAACATACAAGAGGAAAAAGCTTCCGTTCTTGCATAAAAATCAAAAATGTGTTTAAAAACAAATAGCAAATAATTACATAGTATAAATATTATAATACAGAATATAAATACATATATACATATACCTGTACATTTTTTGAATTTTCATAAACATAGTCCAGAAGGCATGAAGATCTTTGGTATTGAACTTATTTCGTCAGATCTGGATGAGGGGAATAGATACAAAAGGCTATGTAGGAGGGAGGCCTTTTGGATTCACACATTAAATAGCCTTTTCCCCATGGGACTCAACGAAGGGATGGAATTGGCATCAACTTTGTGAAAATAAAATCTTTTTAATTATGTTTCCTTTTTCCCTTTCTCAAACAAAGTCCCAAAGAGAGTCCTTCTATCTACCTACTTCTCAACAAAATCTTTTTAGATAGCTTGCAAATAATTCCTCTCAATTTTTCAGAGAAGGAAAAAGGTCCCCTTTTGTATTTATTTATATATGTATATTTATCAAAAAACATTACCATTGGTGATCATGATCCTTTTACCCAATGTGAATATGTGTTTTTCGTTGGCTTGTACGAGATCGACGATACTAGCCCACTAAAATTATGTCAGCACAATTTTTAAATACTTAATCTTCATAATTTAATATTCTAAAATGAAGTTACATTCACTTAGTATGAAGATACACAATGCCCTTACCTCTTGAGAAATGATCGTGCCGAATTATATATATATTCTTAAACACATTCATATAATTTTTTAAAAGATTGAGAAAACGGTTTTAACCAATATATTTTTTTCATATATATTTTTTCATTTATATTTTTAATTTTTTTGATTTTTATTTGTTTTTATAAATATATGTTGACATGGGGGGCCTAAAACTAATCATTTTTGATCGCTCTATCTACACCCATATTGGGGTCCTAAATCAAATGATTTCTCCTTCTAGGTGACTGCACACCATATGAATGAATAGGCCATTAGAGATATTTATGGGGAAAGAACACTAACCATTTATGCATCAAAATGGTACCTACAATGTTTGGCTATTTAACATTTAATTGTAATTTTGTTTATCCAAAGTCTGTTTAATTAATCTCTTTCTGAGGCAGTAATGTAATAGAATGTAGCCTCCTTATCAATACCGCAACAAGATTACATATATGCGGAGTATATCTTTAGATTTGGTACTGTATGAATTCCCACTCATTTGCACTTCTTTGCAAATCAAGTGGAAAAAAATCCTGAATATGCATGAAATATAAAGTTGCCAGTGGGCTTAGAAGCTAGGCTGCCAACACTAGAGCGACTTTTAGGACTCACTTGGAGAATTTATCCCTTGATATAAAAAATAGTTCCATTTCTCTCTTTTTCCGAAACTCCCTATAAATCTAGTCAATTCATTTACATACATGTATTATTATGTATGGCTAGTTCGTCCCAAACTTCTAGAGATAGTATGTTTTTCAACTGAATAGGTTAAAGATTAGGTTTTATTAAAAACATCCATCTGTCAGTTAGACGGAAGCCAGCAGGAATCTCAATTACCGGAGATTGGCCCAAACACCATTGCTAAAAGACAAAACCTCTTGTGATTGGTCATCGTTCTGTTAAAAGAACAGGACTCAGGAGAGTGTCTTTAGGTTCTGATGAAGGGGGCGTGCCCCTGAAATGCGTAGACCATTTTAAAACTCACGGGAGCAGAGGACGCTGATTTGGATTCCTCTTCAGACTTTCCATGCTAGCGATTTTATATTTCAACGCTTCTTTTATGCTTGTGATCACTGATTATCGTGTAAGTAGAATTTTTTGCTTGCGTGTTTTACCAAATAAATAATCTTTTTACACTATGGAGGTGCTCTGTCTTACTTTTATCTCACAGAATATAAATAATAGAAGAAACATTTTTTTTTCAAGGTTCAGTTTTCCGTTTAAGCTAATGAGTGCCCTAAAGAAGAACTCCAGGAGTTACCAAGATGAACCCTTGGGGCTACCCCCGCACTGCAAGGGTTAACTGCTCATTTTGATCTAGGGGCCGGAATACAGAAGCTGTACTCACCTAATCCTCGGTCCTGCGGCAGTCAGCGCTCACCTCTCTCTGGCTGTGGTATGACCCTTGGTGACCTCATGGCTAATGCAGGGGAATGGACCTGCATTACAGGTGATGATGCCACGGGTCTTTAGACCGCTGCAGCCCAGAGGGGAAGAGGCTACGGGGATCAATCTACAAACCAGGCAGGATTGAGGATCAGATGAGTATATATGCTTTATTTGAGCCTAGAAGAAACATTCATTGTCTTTTTTTCAAGATTCAGTTTTAGCTAATGAGAGCCTTAAAGAAGAACTTCAGGAATTAACAATATTAACCCTTGCAGTGGGGCTACCCCCACACTGCAAGGGTTAACTGCTCATTTTGTGAGGTGAATGGACCTGCATTAGACGTGATGATGTCACAGGTCCTTAGACCGCTGGAGCCCAGAGGAGAAGAGGCTACGGGGATCAGTCTAGCAACCAGGTAGGATTGAGGATCAGATGAGTATATCTGCTTTATTTGAGCCCCTAGACAAAAAATGAGCTGTTTCCCTAGCAGTCTGGGAGTAGCCCCACTGCAAGGGTTAATTTTCTTAATTCCTGGAGTTCTTCTTTAAAGTGAGCCTGTGCCATGAAGGCAAATCTGCACCATCTATTGTTTGATGTGGTCATTTGCTTAATCTCATTACATTGCTTATTCGGTGCTCGGATACCTGGATTTAGGACTTATATTTGCCATTAAGGAAATAATAGTCTAGCTCTAGTCTCTAAAGTTTAAATGAGCAAAACACATTCCAGTTGCATCAAAACAAAAGATGTACAAAGACTTACAGTTTGTTTTCTTTAGAAAGCAGCCACAGCCTCAGTAGGAAAGCCTACCCCTGCCAGCATGCTGCAGAGTGAGGCCTTTGCTCTCTACGCGGAAGCATCGTTCTCTCTGTAAAGATTTGACACACCCCCTGTTGAGTCAGAGCCAGAGCTCTCGAACCAGCAGGGAGCATAGACTTTGGGTCTGACTCCACAGAGGGGGTGTCAGACCTGTGCAATAAGGCCACTGCTTCCCTACAGAGAGCAAGGATCCTACACTACAGCTGCTGGCAGGGGACGGACCTTTCTTTTCAGGCTGTGGCCGCTATAGAAATAAATTAACTGGAAGACACTGAACACCTTTAGTTTTGATGCATCTGAAATGTATTTCGCTGATTTAAACCTAAGCTTCAACTGGCCTTTTATCCACACAAAAATATATAAAAAGAGCTTGGATTTTCTTAGCCGTAGTCAGAACCAACACTTGAGCTGTAATTGTACCTTAATAAGTAGAATCCCAGCGCAGTCAAGTCCGCTCCTTGTTATTTGTATAATCATCATCATATAATTGGCTTCTCACTCAGGAGGGCCTGGCACATCTGATCCTGGAAAGGAAGAAAAGTACTATTGATTCTCGGCACAAAATGAATACAAATAACTAACTGGCATCACAGAGAGAAATATTAATGATTAGAGGAATTGTTAGGTACAACTAAATACACGGCCAGAAACTTAGAAAGAAGCTTTGCTTGGACCGGGAAATCAAAGGGAGATGAAATACAAAAGATATCAAAGGTGCTTTATGCTTTTTTATTAGGTAATATGGCTGATTTCTCGCTGTAATAAGATGAAGAAGAACATTTGTTCTTAGAAACCTGAATGTTAATAAGCAGCTTTGTACAATAACTCAGCTAAGTATTCTTTGCATGGAAAATGGCAGCACAGCGGCTAATTGATTGGCACTTGGTTCCTTGCAGCCCTGGTTGCTAACGCTGAATCCAATCAGGGACACTTTCTCATGGAGTTGCTTAGATCTATCCATGTCTTTGTGGGTATCTTTTTTTCTCCAAGGCAAAATATAAAATTGGATACTGGTGGATTAAAGTGGACCTTTGCAGTCAAAAAACAAATTCTACCAATGCATCCCTCTATGTATGATGATTAATAATAACATAGACATGTCACGTGTAAAATGCTGTGATTGTGAAATACTTACACTTGCAGAGCATTCACTTCCTGCTTTGAAAGGGCAAAATGACTTCAGTTTTCCAAAGCAATGCACACTGAAATTGCCTTGTCATCAGCAGAGCATTGCTGGGAAATCTCATCTGTAATCTCATGAGATCTCAGGGAAAGGCATTTTCCTCCCCTGAGATGATGTCCTAGTCACATGTGCCAGAAATCCAGGAAGTAAAATGAGAGCTAATAATATGCCCTTAGTAAACATGGCCACTGTCAGAAGTCTGTGGAAGAAAAGAGAAATAAGGTATGCACAGAATACGAAGCCGGGAATTATCTAGAAGTATGTGTCTGTAGATTGTCATTACTAAACATTTCTAAAGGTGTGTTTGTTGTTATTTTAAAGACATGTGTAAAGGTCCGCTTTAAAGGTGAACTACCAGCAAACAAGGAACTATTTCATCTGTCAAAGGATTTGTATTACTGTACATCCAGTTTGAAATTTATTGTAAGGTACTTACCTAGAGGCCAGTACGGGTACACGCATGCAGCCCTGCCCTCAGGATTATGAGCAAACATGCTGTAGCTAGGAGTTGCGTGCATGGTGGTATCTGGGCGCGTGCTTGTGCGTGCAGAAATGCGGGCAAAGATGTGCACGAATGTGCGCAAAATTACGTGCTCGCGTAATAGAACCATTACGTGCAAACGTTAGCATGCACACGTGCATGGTCTATAAGTGTGACCAGTGAGCTAGTTGTTTTCAGCTTTCCCTTGTTCCTGTGCTATCCGTTCCCGGTGACTCTGTTTACCCATGGCCCTGGCTGAAGAATTTAACTCTGCTTTTTGGACTTCCGATTTGGTAATTCACCTGAGCTCCAGATTTACATGTGCATGACCCCGGCTTATGACCTCGACCCGAATTACCAGCTCAACTCCACTCTGACCTCGCAATGCGTGGAACTTCAAGTTCCCACAGCATCAGTTCCTGTGGACGCGTCAACCTGGTCAAAGCACTCCAACCGCAGAACACCTCCTCGGGAATCATGCCTCCCTGAGTTCTCCTCTCACCTGTTACCAACTCCAGGGGAGTCGTACTGGTGGTGCAAGAGTAGCCTCCTATTCAGCTCGATCTTCAATCAAGTACGTGACATTTATACAGCTCTACCAAACAGCATACCGCTGTCTGGTAGGGGGGGTGACCTGATTTTTCTATGTTTATTAGCACTTAGGGGTCTATTTATAACCAATTTGCACAGCTGTGCACTCTGCAAATCATTGGGAGTGTTAGTTCTGTGCGAATAGATTCAAAAATGAATGTTCTTAGATATAGTTTATTTTCCGGTTGAATGTATCTAATGTAATACTCCATGTTGTCCACTAGATGGAGCTAAGGAGCATAGGGAGCATATGCAATAAGCATCTAGTGGACAAAATGCATTATTGCATTACATGCATTCAACCTGAAAGGAAAAAATATATAAGTTTATAGTTTTTGAGTCTATTCGCACAGAACTAACATTCGGAAAGATTTGCAGAGCTAATGGCTCTGCCAACTGATTATAAATAGACCCCATACAGTTCTTGTCCCTCCCCCAACCTGTGACTGGACACCAAAAGAGAATCAGCGGACTGATGAGCCCATCTCTTTGTCACACTGCTCCCTCATCCTATCAGCATGTGTCTTGTTAGCACATGAGCACTGCAGCACAACTTATTGTCTCCTTGTGTTGCATCTCTTCTGGTTTTTATTTATGGCCCATTGACATACAGTATGTTAACTTGTATTGTGGCAAAGCAGGCATTACCAAAACACACAATACATCCATTGACTTATTTTGAATAGCTCCCCACGTGCTGCAATGTATGGCAATGCACCACAGTGCATTACGATTTGTAAAAATCGGTAAAAATATTGTGACACGCCCAAGTTTTTGGGATATTTTGGTGCGTCAGAAGCCCATTGATTTAAATGGCAAGCCTTAATGCAATGCACTTTAATGTACATTATTGCACTTGCACCACATTAACACACCACAGAAAAGTCAAATGGGCATTTGATGCCTTTTTTTAATTAGGGTGAACTTTGAGTGCAGTGCTCCCTTGTTGCTGACCATCTGACCTTGAGGATGCAGTTTGTTTGCATCATGCCATTTCATTGTGACTATACAGAATACCATCTAGTGGCATGCTACATGAAAGAGTTGGGTCCCTGTGAAGGCATAACCTTTTTTTAGGATAGGCATGATTATTCTGATTTGTCTAGGAAGACTAGGCATGACTGGTGATAGTGTATGTAAAGATCTATGGATTTAGTGGGGAAAAACTCATGTCAATCAGGTTTTTATTACCTTTGGAGGATCCATTGGAAAGATTTCTTCACTTTTGACAAATGGTTGTCCCCAGAACAGAAGATAACGGGAAATCTTTCTAATGGAGCCCCGGATAGAGGTAAAACCTGACAGAGGTTTTAACCTTTCCACATTCTCCCCAAAACTTTACTTTAGTTATGAACTAAAATAAAACATATATGTAAAGAACATATACTCTATGTGAAAGTGTATATTCCTTTTAGAGATACATTTTCATTTTTATTACCCTATTACAATTTGTGTAAATCACTCAATGGCTTCACCTAATCCTGAGAAGGTCTCAGCTCAATATAGATACAAGGTCCACCGAAACCATAAAGACTCTCCTTAGTAAGCTATGACCTTCTATAGCTCATTATACAATAGAGATGATTGACCATGTCTCCTCTGCAATGTTGCATAATATTTGAAATGCTTTTTTCAGCATGACCATTGCTTTCCCTTGAGATTCCAGGATATTCAGATTAATTTTCTGTTATACACTGAGAGTGACCCAATGAAAAACAATGATGACAGAAAAGAGCTGAGAGAAATTGTGTAGGCTTTGTCTATAAGGAAGTGAAAAGAGCAATATATGTGTCACTCACACACACAGAAACAGGAACCATACCGCACTCCTTACCGGGATTCCCACTTGATGAGGATGGGTGCTCGAAATGACTGCGGTTGGCACCGCCACACATGAACAATAGAAAAATTTCACCAGCACACCATAAGTTGAAAAAGCAAAATATTTTATTGCCAATAGCTGTATCTTATTGGCAAGCCCTTTCTTCGGGGCCTCGCAGGGTCCCCTTCATCAGGCTTCATCACACACACACACACACACACACACACACACACACACACACACTGGATCTGCAAAGAACATTGACCCACCATAATTTGTGGTACAACATAATACATGGTTCCAACTTCCAAATATTCTGCCAAATAAAATTATCATTTCTATTTTGCCTTTATGGAGCAATTGGATATAACTTTAACTGGTAAAGGTAAAATAAACAGAACAAAAAAGAATATGCTTTTGTGATATCTGCACTCTAACTCCCTGGCCCTCAAGACAGTGGTCCAACTATGGGGTTCTGTTCAGAAGGACATTTAATAAGCTGCCCCAAGCAACCAGTTTGTTAGAGTCTACTGAGCCAAACCCAGAAAATATGTGTATAGGCGGTGCTTTGTGTCATGATGGGTTGCATGCAGAATGCCACATGCTGTTCAGCATAGCAAAATCACTGCAGGGCTCCCCTTCTCCTCAACCCTTACAAAATAATTGAACCAAGCCTGCATCCCATAGGATTGTTCAGGTATTTTGACAGCCAACAGGGCCAACTAGCAAGATACTGAAGCTTGGCCCAGTGGGAGATTCCTCCACCCACACAGTTTAGCGTAGATGGAGGAGTCTGTTGCACTTTTTCTATATGACCATAGAAAATCTGCAGATAATCTATAGGTGCATGGCCAGCTTAAGTCAGAGCCTTTAGAGACAGCTAATGATACTAGAGCCATGGCCTTGTGGAGCTCCAGATTGAAGAATGTTCTTTACTTTTCTCCTAACAAAAGGAATTTTATGAAGGGCGTATCAACTCGAAGAGGATTCAATACTGACAAGTTTGTTTTCTTTCTTTCTTTTTTTTTTTACAAATAAGATGTTCAGGGCTTTGTTTCATATTTTATATCAGCAATCAACAGAGTTTAGCTAATCCCTGAGATGAACTATGGATACATTCATTTTATGATAAATTATTTAGCCAATGCCAGCATCTGCCAAGCCATAATCAGACTGCTGGGCACCATAATTGTTGCTTGGTCTTCTGAAGCTTTAGTTATACTATTTCCATGACAGTTATGTTTTCATCTCTGTTTTAGAGTAGTTTTCCCATGATGAAAGTAAATTATGATTTCAAGAAGCTTTATATCTATATTCCAATTTTATGTTCCTACACTAATTGATTGAAGAGTGTACTCTGTATTGCAGGGAGCGCAATCTGACCTGTTGAGTGGATCTTCTGAACATAATAATAAAGTATGTCACAAGAACACCATGTTTCAATCTTCAAGCAGTGATCATTTTATTGATGCACACGCATCTTGTCACATTGGAGATTGAACCATGGTGTGCTGGTGACATACTTTACTATTTGGATTTGAAGCGGCACCATCCGCAGTCACTACAGCACCCACCACCAGGGAGATACCAGTAAGGAGTGCGGTAGGACTCTTCTGGCTCTTCCAAACATTACTGCTATACTAGCTAATCGTTTTGGTATCAAATTTTAAGGTTTGGGGGAGAATCAAACTGAGACTCAGCAATGTTTACGGAAGACACCTTTAGAATCATGTCCTTGGTTGCACAGGGAAACAAATTCACACCAGTATTAGGAAGCCCCGAAGGATGTCATGACCTGCTTACAATATTTTAAATATATATATATATACACACATATATAATACATATACATATATTTTTTTAGCAATTGCTAACAGCACTGTTCTCTGTTCTCTGTAATGGTCTAAAGAGGTCTTTTTATTCGTTTTTTGTTTTACCAAAAAATAAATAAAACAAAATCTCTGGTAGGACCAAACAAACAAGCAGGCAGAGAAGGTGATTTTCTGAATGTTTTAATGAGGATTTCAAGTCCCTCCCTACTTTGCAATAATTATCCCTACTTTGCAATAATTCAGATATGGTATCTTGGCACAGGAACTGACTCAGTTGTGTGCAGTAAAACACCCTCTTGTTCCTCTAAAAGGGCCCAAATTTGAAGTCAGCATCTTTTTTTTTGTTTTATCTTGTGAAACTAGCATACCAAAAACAGTCCCTGCTATCTCTCTCTAACCAAAGATATTCCTGATGACCTCTATCACTCTCTAGCCATGTTCCAGTCTGTTGGTCGTACATAGACTTCCATCTTGAGGTGCACTCTGTGGCTGGGTTCCACACCTCTAGTACTTTACCTACCAATAACTAAGGGTGGGTGGGGTAACCCTGGGGAGGATAGCCCAGATATGCTGCAAGTCAGTAATAGTACAAGCCAGAGCTACAGTACATGGGACTTTCAGGACATTTCTAAACTATGGCATTAAAGTAAATCATGCTGCGCAACAAAAATACAGCATATGGTATGCTTTGCAATTACCACTTTGCAAAATCCCACCTTTCATTACACTTATGGTGAATGGTATACTGGTGTTCCCAGCTATTGCATGACCTAAAATCTGTAGGCTCTATGTGTCCAACATGGCCTTCCCTAAAGGCCTGCTGCAGTCTTACCTGCATACAAACTGGAGTACAAGACAAGACACAGTCCTGAATAATCTGATACA